CGGGCCACCCTCCCCCCTCCCTCGGACGGGGCGACCGCCCCTACTTCTTCGGCGAGTTTTCTCGGCGGACGCGGCTTCTACAAGTCCGCGCCGCTGTGAGCACTGTACTTCGTGTGCGGCCGAACAGAGATTTAAGTACGAATCTCGTTTGCTACTAAATTTGACTGTAATTTTTACGTAAAACATATATTTATGCACAAAAAACCATTGTTAATTGAAGGACAAAGTTTATTTTTTATCACGAAAATGTGCTCGATTTCCTATAGTACTACTACTGCCTTTCACTTAAAAATATCCAATCAGTATTACAAATTAGTTTCTCCATTCTTAGTTATTTATCCAATGAAAAAAAAAATTTCATTGAAGGTCAAAGTGAGCTGTTTTAAACACGAAAATATTAACGATTTCTTGTAGTATAGCCTTTCACTCGAAAAACTCTAATAAGTAATCTAGACGATTAAGTAGGAACCTCGTTTGGAGCAAATGTTAAAGACAGTTTTTTTTACACAAAAATGTTATTTCTGCTTCGAAAGTTTTTTCTGAATAGGTCAAAGTCAGCTATTATAATACAAAAATATACAGAATTTTGTGCTGTAATATAGTATTTCTCTTAGCATTTCACTCCAAAGAAACAAACAATCAATATTCAAAAATATTTTCTCCATTGCTAGGACAAATGTGAACGTCTCTACGTCTTGTTTTTTTTCTAGCCGGACGCGTTTTTACAAGTTCGTGCCGCTGTGTGCTGTGTCCCTACACTTGGCGGCGGGCGTATAGAGGTTTAAGTACGAACCTCGTTCACAACTAAATTTGACGGCACTTCTTTACGTGTAAATAAATATAAATGATATTTATGCACGAAAAAATATTCTTAACTCATAGTCAAAATGAGCTTCTCTAAAATGAAACTAATACAGGATTGGGTATAGAATAGTATTTCATTCGAAAAAATCCAATCAGTAATCTAAATTATTTTCTCCATTTCTCGGACAAGTGAGAACGTCTCTAGACCTTCGGCAGGTCTGCAGAAACCACGTTTCCTCGCCAGACCGGGCTTCTATGCGCAGTGATTTTAGGATACCCCCGCGGTGTTGGGTCCTGGCACCTGATACTAGGCATACGACTTTCGTTTTACCCTCTCCTTGACGGCACAGTTTCATTTTATAGTTTTTGGCTAATTGTTGGCCTCATTTGAATTCAACGATATTTTTAAAAACCCTGTTTTTCGTATAAAAAACGTATTATTTTTAAGAGAAAAAAACTTAATTGAAACCCAAAGTGATACACGATCTACAGTAGTACAGACTTTCATTCCTGAAAATCCTAGAAGAAATATAAATTAATTGCGAGTGCTCAGTGATCGCATTAGTTTCCATTAATTCTTTTGAAATATTGCATTTCTTCTATTCCTTACATTTTAAATTAACTCAAACAAGAAAATGCAAAGAAATATTCTCCTTTCCAAATAACCGCTCGTGCTCAATCATTACTGCAGATGACCATTAGGTGCTATGAAAAATTGAATCACTAAAATATCCACATGGCATAAGAAATTTTTGGAATCAAAAACTCTTTTTTCGAGGAAGACATACTTTTTTATCATTTGAGAAGATAGCATTTTTTAAGAGAGCCCCATTCCTTTTTTTATTTATAACAAAAATTTACGATCTATTTTTTTTACAAAATAATAAGTAAATATGATATTGTAGAATTGTCATGACAATGATTTCCAGGGAAGGTATCCCATCGGTACTCTTCATCTACTTCTTCAAACTATAACAAAAATCAAGTATTATGTTGGGTTGGCTGCAAGTGGAATAGTTTATTAGCTGATGGTAATGTTTCAGTTATTTATTGAGAATCTATATGGGAGTTGTATGGGTGAGGTTCAGGTTAGTCGATGGATATCTGCACTATTGTCTAGGATGTTGAGGGCTAGGTGGTTTGAATGGTTTTCAAAGCGCTTCAGATAGTTTGAGCTAATAAATTCTATTCTTTCCAAGACAGTGGGCATTTTTAAGTCCTTGTGCAGTGCATTTCTTATATGGCATTGTAATTTTGCAGAAACGTAGCTTTGGGCTGTTGGTCCATACTCTGCTGGAGTATCGATTATTTCAAAATGAAATATTATATTTTAAAAATTAAAATTATGAACATTAACAATAAAAATCACACGTAAGTATCGATATTTTGTGTTGGTGTCCATACATAATACCGTATCGAATAAAGTGTAACAACATTTGAAATGAAATTGCTTTCTGGAAAAAATAATTGAATTAATTCTTTAATTATATTCATTAATTATATTTATTAATTTTATTATTCTTGAATTAATTCTTTATATACACACACACACACACACACACACACATATATATATATATATATATATATATATATATATATTTAGAAAACAATAATTATTAAATTATTTTATGGATCGATGATCTTGTTGGTAACTACTGAGATGCCCAGTTTTCATTCGCACTAACTAGTTTCCTATAATTTTGATTTTCCAATTTTTGACGTGATTCACCCTACCGTACCTTATCAGCAGTCTTTGGTACTATTTG